CTATGTGCACAGAGGTGCTCAGTGAGTGGTTGTTGCATCAAGAACTTATGGCAACTCACCTCTAGGGTTAAATCAGGAAGGGCAACGTGGCTTCTCACTTAGTAAAGACCTAAGCATTCAAACAGCATTGCTTACTGTGAGGACTAAATGGGAAGACGAATGGGAAAGTGCTCTGTAAATTGTAAAGCACTGTACCTATACAAGGTATTATTATTATTATTTAAAAGCAGCCCCAGAAAATGTTCTAGCTTAGACTTTGCAATTAGTCCTAAAAGCTTGCAACTCAACTCTCCATCAATAATGGCTGTGGTGTTACATTTAAGAGTGACAACGGGCATCCAACAGAAGCCTATTAACACAGCCAATGCATTCAGCACATCCATTACGGCTACTCATAGGACAAGAGAAGAAATCTGCCTCAAGAAGACAAAAAGCGGAGGAAGGTGTATGCAACAATTAAAAGGAAATGCTTTGTTAGAGGATTAGAACTCACTCAAGTTCAGCCTACCGGCCAACCATTTCCCCTCTAATGAAAGCAAAGATCATTACTCAGGCAGGAGAAACGAAAACAAAATGGTAGCTGTAATGCAACGACAGTTTCTTTAAGGATTAAACCCGGCTTCCTGTCTCTGACCCTACACCCATCCTTCTGCTTTCCCACCTCATCCCTCTCCCCACACCCCCTTTCTGTCTGCCGCGCCCTCAGCCCTCTCTGGGGTCCGCGTCTATGTCTGCTGGCTTCTTGTCTTTTCATCGCCGGCACAGCTGCCCCCAGAGGCAGCTCGTTAGGAATCCTGTCTGCCTACCCGTCTCACCCACCCAGAAAAGACCCAGCCACTCTTTGACCTGCTTCCCCTACCCAACGGTGGGGTGGCTGCCCTGCTGGGGGGAAGTCACCAAGCTGTGTGGGGTGAAGACGCTGTCCACCCTCGGCTGGGAAGGGCTCTTAGGCCTTCTTCCACTTCACACAGCAATGACTTCACATTCTCACCACTCTTTTCCAGCTCCCTACAGCCTCCCGCTACCATCTTTATGGGGGGAAACAGCTTGTTTCAGTCTTCTCAGAGAAAACAGAGGTTATAAGCCCTAGGTCCCTCAACATGCTCCCCATGCCAACCCCCCCAACTGGACAATAAACAGATTTCCATTCACACTCATCACTGCTGCCCTGGTTGATGACCCCAGCACATACTGCCCAGGCCACTGCAGCAGACAGACTGATCTCCTCCCCGAGTCTCACATCCTTCCAGGTGTATCTGTTGCTGCCGCCACACCCGCTGCCCCTTTCTCTTGGATGCTTTTCTACCGGCTCTCCCCGGGCCAGATGCTCCGCGTTCCTCAGGTCTCAGCTCAAATCTCAACGATCACAGAAGCCTGTGCTGTCCACCCAAGCCAGGCTGCCCGACTTCACTCTAACACATCACCCTGTTTTTGTCTTCAGAGTCCGTCCCACAATGCCTGACTAGCTTATTCATGGCTCACTGGTTCAATGTCTAACTGAAGTATAGAAATGTAAGCTCCTCGAGGGCAGGGACCTTGCTGTACTCATCCTTCGTGAGAAGGTGGCTTCTTCATCTCTCACCTTCTAGCCTACCACTCTTACAAAACATCCACCATGTGGACCCCAAACTACTTCGCTTTCTCTTATTCCAACAGTTCTAGGGTGTCTTGGACAAGCACTTCCCGAAACATGAAGAGAACAACTACAGGAGTGCAGGTCCACAGCTAAGGTCAGAGGGGACCCTAACCCTTTAACTGTAGCCAGGTGTGAGAGATGTGGTTAAATTAGCACAGGGCTGATTATAACCAGGCAATGTCCTTCCTGCCCTCTCCTGCTCAGCTACCAGCTCCAACCTCCACCCCAGCTAACA